GTTTAAGAGCTCTAAACTGAACTGACTGATAAGACGAGAGCTCTAAACTGACACTGAACTGACTGCCAAGCAATCAGTCAGTCAGTCAGTCTCATCAGTTTGGATTGATTGTTAGCAACTCTGCTCGTGCTGAGCGGTTGCGCGAGACTGGAGGCTGGCTTGGCTACCTGAAAGACTTTACCATTTTCCTGCCTTATGTCATACCCAAACGAGACATCAAAGTACAGATATGTCTACTCATCTGTCTCATCACGATCGCGATAGAGCGCGTTCTGCAAGTGGCCATCCCGTACGTCCTCGGAATGATTGCGGACAAGGTCACACATGGATCGATACCTATTCGAGAACTCCTCATCTTCCTTGTCCTGGACCACCTCAACGGCGATTCAGGCTTGGTCTTCATCCAAGAGCTGTCTAAAATACCCATCAAGCAATTCTCGTACAAGCAATTAACCAACGCTGCTTTCGGCCATGTCATGGCCCAGTCAATCGATTTCCACTCTACGCAAGACTCGGCAGAGGTCATGAAGGCTGTTGAGCAAGGCGAAGCGTTGGGCAACGTCCTCGAGTCGGTAGTCATCGAAATCCTGCCAACCATGATCGACGTCTTCGTAGCTTGTACTATCTTCTACCGAAAGTTCACTCCGGCAGTGGGGATGGTTCTGCTTGGTGCATCAATCTTATTCCTGGCAGCCGAAGCTTTCTCAACGCGACTCACAACCGGCCCCCGGAGGAGTGTGACCAAGGCGGAACGATTCCAGATACGAAAGATGCATCAAGCAATTCAAGGTTGGCAAACTGTGACCTACTTTAACCAGTTCAAGAGGGAGGCCCACGTATTGTCCAATGCTGTGAACGACCACATGAAGGCAAGGACACGCTTCGAAGCACGGCAAGCGTTCATCAAGGCTCTCGTTGAGCTGCTAGTACCAACTACCTTCTTCGCTCTAGCCTACCTCATCCTCCAACGCATCGCTGCAGGCACTGCATCACCAGGAGACTTTGTCTTCTTCCTCACGTACTGGGACTCAATCATTTACCCGCTAAAGTTTTTGACAGAACATGTCCGGTGGTTGGTGCGCGACTTTGTAGACGCCGAACGAGTTCTGCACCTTCTACAGACCCAGCCGTCAGTCACAGACGCACCCGAAGCCTACCCACTCGCAGTGCGCGACGGCGAAGTGCGATTCGAAGACGTATCCTTCCAGTACGACTCGAGCCGCTACGCACTCCACGACGTCTCCTTCACCGTCTCGCCCGGCCAGACCGTCGCGCTCGTAGGCCAAACCGGCGCTGGCAAATCGTCGATTCTGAAGCTACTCCTACGTCTGCACGACGTCACATCCGGCAGGGTTACCATATCCAAACAAGACATCCGGCACGTCACACTGAGTTCGCTGCGCGACGCTGTAAGCGTAGTTCCTCAGGCACCCACCTTCTTCAACACGTCCATCATGGAGAACGTACGGTACGCACGCAGCACCGCGAGCGACCAAGACGTCCACGAAGCATGTCGCGCAGCCGCGATTCACGACACCATCATGCGCTATCCCAAGGGTTACAACACCCACGTCGGCGAGCGTGGCGTCAAGCTGTCCGGTGGCGAGGCGCAGAGACTTGCGATTGCGAGGGCGCTGCTCAAGGACGCGCCGATTGTTCTGCTGGATGAGGCGACGAGTGCGGTCGATACGGTGACAGAGGGTAGCATCAAGAGGGCGTTTGAGAAGCTGAAAGAGGGAAGGATTGTGATTGTTATCGCGCATCGGCTGAGTACGATTGTTGATGCTGATTCGATTCTAGTGTTGCATGAGGGGAGCATTGTAGAGAGGGGAACGCACCAGGAGCTGTGCGATAGAAAAGGGCGGTATTATGAGCTGTGGGAGGGGTCCTAGGTTTCTTTGGGGTTTTGATTCATGACTGCACGATGATATAATGTTTTGATACGGCTGGAGAGATAAGACGTGCTTTTTTTCTCTCTTTCTTTTTCTCTTCTCTTTCAAGTCAAGCAATTATGAACAGTACTTCTGGCCCATGCTAGGTTCGATGATGCCCATGTCGATGAAGTTGAGATAATTCCAATAGTCGGCCTGCTCGCCTTCACCCGCGACCGAAACATTGCCAAAGTACTTTGCTGTCCAGTACGCATTCCCTTGTGTGTACTTGTTGTACGCGTAGAGCCCGGTATTCAAACTCTTAGCGCGATTCGCAAACCTGTTGTTCGATAATGTCTGGATGGCCCACTCGCCCACAAATACAGGGAATTTGCCATCACCAGCAAGCGTCTTTGCGTCTGCGCAGATGCTAGTGGTAACGTTGTCCGAATCGCTCGGGCGGCCGAAGTAGTAGTTGTGCACATCGAACACAATGTTTGTGCTCGCAGCAAAGTTTCCAGACCAGAATGGCTCTCCCTTGAAACTGCCCTGGAACATGATTGGGATCTTTGGGTTCACGGCTTTGGTATGCTTGACCACGGCGTTGATGTATTTCTGTACCCAGGCAGCACCATTATCTGACAAAGCTGCCGGGGTGCCGAATTTGGAAAAGTCTGGGTTGTCTGCTGGTTCGTTGATGGGTGCGAGTGTGTATGACTGTGGGCTTCCGGACTTTTGAATGAACTTCAGGACTTGGTCGACTGCTTGGAGTGAGAGGTCGAGGTTGGTTTGGTTGTTGAACCAGTCCCATTTGCCAACGCGCTAGATGGAATTAGTAAACGTGTGTGGGACGCACTGCATCTGTACATGGACTCACCTCGCCAATGTCCAGACCATTGATACCACCCGGAAGACCATGGATATCGAGGACGATATGCATGCCATACTTCTTGATGGCGTGCGAAGCGATTTTCTTGATGTACGATTGCTGGTTTCCAGAATGGTACTGCGCACCTGGAACCTTGATCCACGCTGCGTAGGTGGTCGGGATGCGAAGAAGGTTCACTCCGCCCGAGGCAAGCTTATCAATGTCATCGCGAGTGATATACGTTGCATAGCGCTTCTCAAAGACTGATGCGCACCTGTCACCCAGTTTGGCACAGCAATTCCACTCATCGGCGGTACCGTTGCAATATGTGCCCCAGAAATATGGATCGATGGTGGCTTCCTGGCAAAGCCATCCACCGAGATTAACTCCATTGGCTCTGAAGTTTCTCCAATTGACATAGTCGTCGCGGTGCGATGGAGTGGGGGTTGCTAGGACATTGGAGGAGAATGCAAGAAACGATGCGCCTAGGGCTGTGAACGCGAACATGTTCGTTGGTCTGAGACGTGTACGCATACGATGAATGAATATTTCATAGTTGATGGTGTATGAATATATATACTTGTCACAATGAAGTACATTTCATCATTCAAATTGTTTACGGATTAGCATGTATAGATTTTACATCTTGATATTGTGGGGGAAAAACATGGGGAAGATGTGGAGCCGGTAGAGCTATACACAAAGAAGCATCAATCTGCCCCGCAAACTGGCCTAGTTTTCTCAAATGAGTTAGACCCAAGCCACCCATTTCTCACATGCACGTGCCGCAGTCCCTGACAAGGCTAGTTTCATCGGTAGAGTTCATGCCGAACTTTTGTCCCGAGTTTCGGTTGTAGATTATGGACCGACACACGCATCTTGACAGCCCGCGGTGGCCGGAATCAGAAGCGAGGAAAGGGCCAGCATGTCGTCAAAGGGATATTGCCGTGGGTACTAAGACAACGAGCAGCAGCCAACTCCCTAATGGATGCGCACAGGTATTGTCTAGCAAGCGCGGCAGTACTCTCTGTCTTTGGTACGATTTTGATGTTCTGTTAGGCATGGACCATCACATCGCTGTGATTGAACTCGACGCGCATCTTTTGCACCCGCTCGACGATCTGCAGCGCAAGACGCACAGCTACAGCACAGCCGACATGGATACACTACGCGCACACACTTACACTGCATGAACATTGAGGACAAGGCTTGAACAGGAGAGAAGGACTTGCTGTTAAATATCGCGATAATAGCTTCTTAGGGTAGCTCTACAGCCTTATCTCTATTATCGCAGCTTTATGTTAGGGTGGATCGAATGCCAGCATGAATCAGATAGTGCGCTAACACTGTAGCGATTGGCCTGCGACACACTGCATGTCGAACACGTATGAGAATCATTTACATTGGCTGAACCTTTGGTGAATGTGCTGTTGAGGGGTAGTGGTGGCGTTAGAGACCGGTGAGCTCTGATCAGACAATCTGCGCTCAGATTACACTGTTGCCTGATGTCAATAAGGCGTGGTATATATTGGCTCGCTGCATGTACATGAGACTCTAGCATTAGGGCACTTTCTGAAGCCCATATCTTCAAGATGTTTGATCAGCAGCACGATCTCTGAACGCTGCCCTAGGTATATACAGCACCAATCATCCTCCGCATTGAAGTTCGAGATCCAACTTTTGTATCTTGGAAGCGACCACCATGGAGACCTCGGTTCACACCCCATCTTTGTTGGGTCAACATCTGGGAGGGTAATCTACTCAATTCACTTCTGTTTACAAAACTTCATCGTTACGAATTCTACTTCGTCCTACTTCCGCAAGCACGCAAGACATCGTCGTACAAGTCATGCACAGGGTACTACATTGCCACTGACAGTTTCTGCAAGGGCGGATTTTCAATATTCAGACAGTCTGTGTGACCAGCAACTACGGCTACTCGATCTTCACTTCGGCCATGGCGATGAGATCATCTGCCTCGGTATGCGTACGTACAGGATCGACGATCATCCGCCGTACATCGCATTATCTTACACATGGGGAGATCCACACGACACTGTGCCTGTCCTGTGTAATGGGAGAGTCATCGCTGTTACTCGAAATCTCAAAGAAGCTTTGTGGCAATTTCGAGAGGATCGCAAAAGACTGGTTAGAGCGATGCCTCATAGCCAGCCTCTGAACTTCTGGGTTGATGCTATTTGTATAAATCAGACGAATAACAAGGAGAAAAGCTTCCAGGTTGGTTTGATGGCAAAGATCTATCAGCGGGCTCATCATGTCTTTGCTTGGTTGGGACCAGCAAACAAGAGCAGCGACTTAGCGATCTGTTGCATCAACACTATCGGAAAGATGGCGGAAGATCGTGGTATAAGAAATGCGTTCGAGAAATGCCTCGAAATCTGGCAGGACATGGATTGTGTGCTCGGAGGGAGTCAGCGGCTGGTCTCGGTCGACCCTATCTTTCGAGACATAGATGGATCCATATTTACAGTATCCAGAAAGGCCTTCCGAGACTTATTCGATGTCTTTAGCGGCCAGAGCAATCAGAGCAACTTGCTACCAATCGCTGAGTTGAAGGAGTTCTTTACCAGATCCTGGTGGGCACGGGTGTGGATCTTGCAAGAGATTACTCTTTCGAGGGACACACATTTGATCTGCGGAGCGCAAACAGTCACGAGGTACCGCTGCGATGCTTTCATACACATGTATGCTGCACTGTGGACCATCATGTACACTAGGCTTCGAAGAGATCGAGCATCTTTCAACTGGTATCAGCACGACATTATCTCGCATCTATTCCATCACCGTCCTACCATCATGCTTTCCATGCCAAGAATTTATCACGGAAGCAGATTCTCAATGGCAGCCCTCCTTCGTGCGACGTGCGTTGGCAGCATAAACCTGGATAGACATGGACCTCATGATCTTGAATCAACAAAACCAGAGGACAAAATTTTCGCGCTGCTAGGTCTAGCTGCAGATCGAAAGGAGTTGGAACGTTTTGGCGTCGTCCCGAACTATGATGTTTCGTATAAACAAACCTATGCTACTACGATGGCAGCACTACTACGACAGGGTCATATATCCCTGCTCTCAATGTGTCAAGCCTCAAGGTCACCGGATCTCCCATCGTGGGTTCCGGACTGGTCTCAATCTGTGACTGATATGTTGCAGGATATACGGGACGACCATGTAACTCCATATCCAGAGTTCAATTGTTCAGGACATCGGACACATCAAGATTCAATCAGAATATACAAAGACGATGGGGCAATAAAGCGCATATCAATGAAGGCTTGTCTATACGATAATATATATCAGGTCGGTTGCTTCGCCAATCGGACTAACAGTAAAGAGGTACCGCTTTCGCAGACCTACTCATGGCCGGTAGAATGGCTACTCGAGATTTTGCGCCTAAGCTATTGCAGAAGGAAAAACTACGAGGGATTTTGCAATCGATTACGCGCCAGCGGACGAACTTCAATCGGGGACGTTGGATTCGACAAAGATGAAAAGTTTGGTCGCGTCGGAAACGTTCGATTCGCTGATGGTGTCATCCTTCTACGAGACGGACTCGATCTAATCAAAAATCCGCGCTTCAGACGCGAGGCTCAACAATTCCTAAAAGGTCAGAAGAGAAACAGTAAAGTCAAGAGGGGGATCGCGAACGAAGTTCAGCTAGCATCGGAGATCATAGGAAAGAGCTTGGGACGACTTCCTTTCGTCACTGCGAATGGTCATCTCGGCCTGAGTTCTGAACATATAATGCAGGGTGATAAGATTGCGATTATTGCAGAAAGCCAGGTTCCGTTTGTACTTAGACCGCGGGACAAGGACCAATTCAGCGTGGTCAGCGAAGCCTATGTGGACGGCATCATGGATGGTGAGATAGGAGAAACCTCAAAATACGGTGATGTCACCTTGGTATGAGTGTTCCATCTACGTACAAGCAACCAGAAAGCTGTTCAGTGCTTGGATCAGTCTTCTAGTCTCATTCTTCACCGGCATTTCTGTGGTTTTAGCAAACGCAAGAACTGCTTGAGCCGTATTGGCTATCAGCCTCGCTTATCCTGGTTCTTCCCCTCCTGCACGTCGTAGCCACATGACTTGGCGAGTGTCACAACTGCCGCCCACCTTCATCTTCCTCTTTCATCCACCACGACGAGAGCGCAAACATGCTATGCAACATTTGCGTTGGTGTTCTAACACACCGAGCGAATCTTATCGCGAAAGAACATGGAGATGATGGTCTCGCCATCATGTGCGCACACCACCGAACGCTAGAAACCCTTGAGATGTCTGCAGCGCAAGGATGCCACATATGTCAAGCATTTTGGTTGCAAGTGTCTGAGACTGAACAAGACGCTTTGCGAGCTGCTGAGACGAAACGACTCTTAGCGACCCCTGGCCGACCGCCGGAAAAGCCAGAACCCGATAACCTGGAAGAGTACTTCGAATGGCTAACTTTCACCCTGCTTCTCAAAGAGCCATGGGGCTTGGGGGTGGATTACGTTTTGATGCTAAAGTTCAGTGGCGAGGGAGTCGATTGGAGAAGTGTCAGCCCTAAAGATACTCCTGCGCTTGGTTTTCACACTTTTCAGATATGCTTCAGTACGTGACTCATGCTCCACTTCTGAAAGTAACTAAAACATAGGAGATCCAGACCGTCAACTTACTCAAGCAGTCAACTCATACAGCACAGATTCAGATGAATTCTGGGCTACTGCAATGACATGGTTCGACCAATGCGTTAAAACGCATGTGAAATGCAACCCAAACCGCGACCGTCCGGCCTGGTACCCAACAAGGCTACTGGATCTTGGATCAGGTCAAAATGATAACCAAATCTTGCGGCTGATTCAAACAGCCGATGAATCGATGAGTGGTCCGTACGTGACATTGAGCCACTGCTCGGGGAAATCCCAGTTCATCCAACTGAACAAGAACACTTCCGCCAGTCTGCGCTCTGGCGTTTCCATCGAAGTCATGCCAAAGACCTTTAGAGAAGCTATTCTAACAACGAGACGATTCGGTACCAGGTACATTTGGATCGACAGCATGTGTATACAGCAGGTATGGATGCATATGGGCGAGGACTGTTCAAGACGGTGGCTGACAGAACACAACGAAAAGGACGATCAATCTGACTGGTTTCATGAAGCAGGTAATCGTACCCGTCTCCTCCAGGTTTTCCAAAAGACGCACTAACAAGGCATGACCTAGCGCTCATGCACAAAGTATACTCGCATTCATATTGCAATTTTTCTGCTGCTTCGGCACTCGACGGCAGTCAAGGTCTCTTTCGCACGCGAGATCCACAGGCGCTGAACGGGACACGAATAGAACTCTGCGTCGCCGATATTGACGAATCGCGTTCCCACATCCAGTGCGACATTCACAACTACTTCTTCTGGTCGCACAACATCCCTGGCTGTATCATCAACAAACGTGCTTGGGTTGTCCAAGAACGTCTTCTCGCACCACGCGTTTTGTGCTTTGGCCACTCACAACTTCTTGTTACACGGGGTCAGGCTATACTTCTCTAGGCTCGGTCCGTACTAAGGCGAGGTAGACTAAAGCGGTAGTCCGTGAGGTATCGTATGGAATGATCAGGTGGAAAAGAGTTATCGTTGTAACCAAA